CCCTTGATATTAGTGTTTAGAGTCTAGAATTGCTTGGTAGTCTGACTTATTCTTTTTAGCGTTATTTTTAATTTTCTCTTTATTCTGTATATTGTATATGTTATTTTACTTACTTTTTTACACCTATTTTTCTGAATACTGTTTGTTTGTTTAAATGGATGTATTTCTATCTTATATTTACCCAATTTTTTTTAATTTAGGTTTAGATTTAGGAATATTTATGCTTTGTTAACAAAAATTTTTATATTTTTTAAAAAATAAAGTACACTTTTGAAATTGAAAATTGAAAAGATGACATTTCCCATATAATTTTACATATAAAATGACAGCGATCTTCATTTCATAGCCATCGCTGACGCCGTTTTTATTCGATCATACGGTACTTAGTTACTTTAGTAGATAGAGACGCTGGAGCGGCATATTTCCATGGCCAGCTATGTTATCGGATTCAATATGTATGGGTTTTAATTTATGGGGTCGAATCAAGAACGAACATGGATAAATAACAATTAAATGGTATTAAAATGAAATTAAAATATATGTTTATGATATTATGACGTAACCAATTTACCTCTTTTTGTTTCCTAGCCTGCTACTATAATTTTTAGACCTTATAATCCAAGGCGACAGCCTAGTATGATTTATCATCTTAATATATCCCGTTACAGAAAAGATAGAAAGTTGCGGTTTGGCGCTAATATTTTGGAAATTTTGTGCTCTATTTAACTGTGCATAGAAAAATATAGCCTCCTATTTAATTTTTTTTATGCAAAAGCGCAATATCTGTTATGATATCAAACAGCATCCTATAGCTACCACGAAAAAATTTATGCAAACAAAATGTATACTGGAGATTATTAAGGAAGAAAAGCCCTTTTAAATGAGCCCTAGTTTGTTTAAATCGGCTAACCTAAACCAGAGTTATCCTTATTTTAAGAAAAGCAACTTTAACCTTCCCCCACCACTTTTTTATGAGATGGAGCAAAATATTCCACACCAAAAAAATTACAAATTTCTCGATGATTACAATAGTAATATTTAAAATACCTATTCACCTGCATATTTTTGAGAAAAATCCTGCTATCAGAGAAACGCCCCCTAGCGGACATTTTTCGAACTTGACAATAATTTCCAGCGATTTCTTTCTTAGTCGATTTACTTATTAGAATTTGTTTTCCAAAGTTATACAATAAGTAGTTTCTGAGATACAGCCGGCGGCGGCGTCCATTCTTAGTTGGCCACACGGTACACAACACCCGATGTGGAAATTTTTTCATCTTTGAGGAAAATGTTTGTCTAAGGGGTAGGCAACCCTAATATATCTGAATAGAATGACATATCATGTCAACTTTTAACGTTTTCGAATATGGTTTATTTGAAATTACAACATGCGGTTCATAACGACAATTTGACTCGAAATAGTGTGCGGTACCAACTTATTTGTAAAATAATGTTTTTTTTTTCAAATATGCTGAGCCAAACTCGTTCTATTTGAAAAAATTGAGATATTATTTAAAAATACGATTTGGACATCTTTTAACTGGCCAGGACAAGACACTAGAAACATTAGACAATCAAATCTATTTTTCCAAGGCATTCTTAGTGTTTTTAACACAGCTATGATACTCTAGATTGAAATTTAAAACACAATTTTGTAAAAAGTCAAATGTCAAAAGTTGACATATGATAGGTCATTCTATTCAGAGTGTCATTTTAAATCGAATAAAGTAACAAAATAACGAGGGTGTCATTTAAAAATCAAAAGTTATTGTCATTTCCGGTAAAACAGGAAGTGACCAAAAATAATTGAATATATCAATCAATCCTAATTTATGTCTTATACTAACATACCAAATCTCGTTTTTTAATCTGAAAAAATGAAAAAGTTATGGGGTGAACCACTTTTTAGACGCACCCGGTTTTTTTGAAATCAATGTGATCAAACTAGAAAATAATTAGTGCCTATAAAGAGTTAAAATAAAAAAGTAACTAGCTTTTAAGTGACTAAATGTTTAATATTAATTTTGTCTCCCTCTGTATAACTTTTCGAGACAAATTTTAATTTGGTTTAACATACCTACAATGATTATTTTTACCAAATATCAAACTATACAGGGCAAATTACAATTTAGGTAGCTTTTATCAAATTTGAAGTTTATTCGTCATTTCCAGAAAATGTTAAACACGTCAAAACTTTACATTACACAGTCATATGCTTCTGCTTCTTTAATAAAACTCACCTTAATTTTTTCTAGAATTCCAAAATTGATTAATATACAGGTGTCGATTTTATACAGGGTGTTCTAATACAAACACAACTTTGATTTGTAACTTTTTGTTTAGGGAAACCCTGTAGAACCTGCCTCCGCGTCGTATGGGAGGCGCCACCCTATATAGACTACAGAAAAAAAACAGTGTGTGCACTATGTGCGCATATTTGAAGTGAAACATCTTACTAACAGCTATTAAATTTGAGGATTTAAAGGACATCTTTGAAAAAGTGACTTATAGTGCTGTTTTAATATAAATATTATTTTCAATTTATTTCTGTAATCTATACATTTTGTTTCCTCAATAGCCCACAAATTTTATGGGATACCAACCAAAAAACACACTTTTATGCAAATGCCCAATAATGTTAACACTTAAATTTATTTAAGAAAAGAAAAACAATTGAACCTAACCAACAATTCGTATTTATAGTGGTTTACAGTAATTTTGTTAAATTATAGGAATATTCTCGTTGATTATTGGTTTGAAATAAATAAACGGCAAATTAAATACCACAGCGATTTTTTTACTTATTTTCAACGAATTGTAACTTTGAAAAAAATGGACCAATTTTGTTGATTTTTTTTAGCATATTAAAGATCGTTTTTCGTACATTGATCTGATTTTTCTAAATTTTGTATGAGATTTAGTTTTCTATGATATACAGGGTGTGAAAAAAAGGAATGTAATTTTTGTGTTGCTGCCATTTTGCTAAAAAACAAAATTTAACTAGAATTATAAGTTCTGGGTATAGCTAAGACTAATATTTCGGGACGTATTTGGAATTTTTACGATAACTCATCGGGAATAAAAGATAATAAATTTTTACTCTGACTTGTATTTTTACTATCTTTCTATACAGGGTGGTCCGAACTATATTCCGGAAACTTCGGCAGCATATTTTGCAGATAAAAATAAGTAAAAAAGTTGGTACAAATGTATGTCCTAAAATGCTTAGTTTTGGAGATACAGGTGTAGAATTAACAATTTTATTTCGATTTTTTCCAAATAATTTCTGTAACGTAAATATTTGGATGAAAATTGGTGTCTGGAAGTTTTTTGACGACAAATTTGATTTTCATGTCAATATAACTCGTACTTGTAGAGGGCGCCACCTACATATTTTTAACTGTTTTGAAGAGTAATAACTTTTCGTCCGTACCTGTATAAAACAACTGAGTAAAAAAATATGCATTTACAACGTTTTTTACGTAAAAAATGTCTCTTAGTAAAAATCGCTACGAGTAATGGTTCTCGAGATATTTGGAATCGAAATTATCAAAACCTGTCATCTTTGTCATAAATTAAGCATGTTGACTAAATAGTTATTAGGCTGAAATCATAAATTTGAAATGTTTTTGTGCTAAAAGTTCTTTATCATCATTTTTTCTCGGAAAAATTTAAGATTAATTAAAAAAAAATAAAAAGTTCCCAAATTTATCATTTCAGTCAAATATCTGTCTACTCAACATGCCTATTTTTTGTCAATAATGACATGTATCAAATACGTTTAAATAATATATACGACGGCCTCCCCATAAGAGCAATGAGAGGATTTACGTCCCAGTATTGAAGGAGGACAGAAAATCGAGTCGAATGTTTCAAGACATAGGTTCATCCTTGTTTAGTCAAACCTCCTACAATACAAGGATAGACTTATGTAGGAAATGTATTGAAATTCTATAGCCATCCTTCAATATCGGGACAGGAATTTAAGCGGTACCCTCTGTATACTTTATTTTAAACGTATTTGACATGTATTGACTATTTCCATTCTAAATATCTTGAGAAATTGGTTGTTCGTAGCGACTTTTACCAAGGGACATTTTTTACGTAAAAAGTCACAGAAATGTATATTTTTTCACTCAGTAGTTTTATACAGGTACGGACGAAAAGTTATTACTCTCCAAAACAGTTAAAACAAATGTAGATGGCGCCCTGTACAAATAGGAGTCATATTGACATCAAAATCAAATTTCTCATGTCAAAAAACTTCCAGACACCAATTTTCATCCAAATGTTGAGGTTACTTCAGAAATTATTTGGAAAAAATCGAAATAAAAATGAAACTTCTACACCCTGTATCTCCGAAATTAAGCATTTTAGGGCATTCATTTATACGAACTTTTTTACTTATTTTTATCTGCAGAATCTGCTGCCGAAGTTTCCGGAATACAATTCGGACCACCCTGTATAAGAGATAAGCTAACAAAACTGAAATTAACTTTAAAATTGTAGGATATTCGTTACTAATGTGAAATTAAAAAAAAATTATTTAACTAACGCAGTATAATACAGGATCTCTTAAAAATACGACCAGCGAAAAAGTAAAATTATTTTTTTAATATTCTGAACTTAACAGCCCATAAGGTTAATATAAAAGCTCGACACGTATTTGATATTAGACAATGTAAAAACTCTTTTTGTGTCTAAAAATCTGTAGTTTAGCTGCAACTTAGGTTTTTTTTTTAATTTCACATTGTAAAAGTAACGAATATCCTACAATGTTAAAGTTAATTTCAGTTTTGTTAGCATATCTCTTAAGAAAGGTAGAAAAATACAAGTTAGAGTAAAAAGTGATTATCTTTTATTCCAGATGAGTTATCGTAAAAATTCCAAATACGTCCCGAGATATTAGTCTTAGCTATACCCAGAACTTATAATTATAGTTAAATTTTGTTTTTTAGCAAAATGGCAGCAACACAAAAGTTACATTCCTTTTTTTCACACCCTGTATATCATAGAAAACTAAATCTCATACAAAATTGAGAAAAATCAGATCAATTTACAATAACCGATCTTTAATATGCTAAAAAAATCAACAAAATTGGTCCATTTTTTTCAAAGTTACAACTCGTTGAAAATGAGTAAAAAAATCGCGCTGTCGTATTTAATTTGACGGGCAGTTTATAACCTTAGATTAAGAATTTTATAACAATGTCCTCCAATAAAAATGCGAGTTGCTTAACTCTAATAATTCTAATTCTGAGCTAGCAAATGAGCTGAAGTCATTATTCGGAAGCACAAAAACAAATTGAGGAAAATTTACTTCCTAGCACACAACCAGAGGATATTGGTACACAGATACAGTATAAAGTTTATTACAATGATTTTCTTAGCTTTAAATCAAATGTTTTTTAGTGTTTGTACAATCCTTACCACTTAAATAGTAACTCAAAATATATAGTCTGTCCAACAACTCAGGGAAGATTTGAACAGATGGCATTCAAAAATGACAGAAAATTTGCCTTTTGATTGATTAAAAGGACAGATAGAACTATGACTGTCAGGGATCATCCCATTGTACAGTCTATATGAAATTAACTCATTAATTTAATTAACAATTTAATTAAATTGTTTAAAACATCAAATCAATTATTTTGTCATATTTATGACACATTATCTTCCCAACTTATTTTGGTTGGTAGCCCATTGATAAAACTGATACCATTGGAAAAGAGAACAGTTATTATCTCTCAATCACTCTCCTGTTCTAAAATGTAATTTAATATAGATGTCAGTTTAGCAACCTTTTGTTCAAGTCTTCTATTCCTTTGCTGGAGCATTTTTATTTGTTGTTGTTTCTTTGTAAGTATTCTTTTAACTGTAAATTTGTATTTTTCATTCACTAATTGTGTCTCTTTAAAATCGCCAAGATAAGTTTGCCGTTTCTTTCTTTTTGAACTTTTTCCTCCTGTATCTGAAGAAGTTTCGGGTGTGGATTCTTCATGCCTCGGTAAAAATATATGATTTGTATCGGGTTTGTTTTCCAGTAACATATCAATATCATCTTGACAACTACTGGATTCAGGGGAATCCTCAATATGACTCTCATTCTCTGGTTGATCAGGAAAAGAAAATATAGTAGGAACAGCATCCAATTTAAGAGCTTTCTTTGAACTCCAACCATTTTTAAAGTAACAACTAGGTGCAAAATGTTTGGAACAAAGTCTAGTATATTTGGTTGGCGTAAAATTTTTACGTCGCATATTGACAAGCCATTTTTTCTTAATCTCTGGATCATCAGGAAATCTGCAAGTTATTTAGTACTTATGAATAAAGAAAATTATAATAATATGTATACAACAGCATTGATAAGTATTTATTAAATGAACTATTGTACACAGCTATCATACTTACACATGAAATGATACACCTGAACCAGGTTTATACCGCTCAGTACAATTGTAAGCACTACATGATTGTACCATAACTGCAGTTTTATATAAAGCTTGGAATCTTTTTAACAAAAGTAAAATTTCTAGAAATGTGTTGATTATTTACAATTATCTTCTGGCAATATACAATAAGTACAGATAGTACCTATGTATAATTAACTTTTCTACCTTCCCGGTCACTTTAAAAAGGTGTTTATTTGAAGGAATTGTTTAAATATTTATTTTCTGGATATTTAAATTTCTTATTGTTTTGTGTTTCTTATATGGTTTCTTGAAAATTAACTTGCTGCCGCTCGTTGAAGCAGTTATGGGCATAGTTTACTCTTTCTTAATCTATGGGACATAGATAAAGGATGGGCGAGCAAGTAGAATTATGAGCAGAATGAGAAAGATCAAAAAAAGGAGCGTTTACTCTCTAGATCATATATAAAATATATATGGACGTAAAAATATATATGATCATGACCTCTTGTTACCTCTTGTAGTCCGATATTTGCTTTTGCTCAATGGTTAGTTCAGGGTTGTCAGATGTGACAGAAAAATAGTCAATAAACATGTCAAATGCATGTTAAAAACAAAATAATTTGGGGGTTATCTATTGACAATTTGTAAGCCAGGCAGTAAATTGGTAAAAATAATAAAATTTTAACTCTTTTTACTTGTAGTCTAGACTTCAAAAGCCTGAGTTTGGCATGCCTCTAGTTTGTAGTAAAGTGTATAGCCGTTAAACTGTATCACCAATCACCACTATTAATTTCGGTTTCTGTTATGAACTTTGAATTGTAAGCTCAAACTGTAAATTAATATCAGATTTTTTACAAGAAATGGCTTCAGTTACAAACGTTGATCGAACCAATAGTGAAACAAATCATCTGAATTCACCCATTAGAGAAGAATTGGTGAGTTCAATAAAAATAAAGAATTAAACGATTTAAATACTTTGATATATTTTGTTTTTCCTTTTCATTTTCACTGGACTGCCTTATGCATTTTAGGTAAATACAGCTATAAAGTTTTTACAGAATCCAAAAGTCATAAACAGTTCTTTAGCCCAAAAACAAAACTTTTTACAAAGACGAGGGTTATCTGATGAAGAAATACGAATTGCTTGTGAAAAATCTGGAGCATATACACATCATGAACAGCAGTTATCTAGTCCATCACCACCATATAGCTATAGTTTAAATCCATATCAAAAATCGATGTCAACACAAATTACATTATTTGACAAAGTCCGTGATTTAGTACAAAATATAGCGCTCTTTAGTATTGTTGCATACGTCTTACATAAATTTTATGAGGTAAGATAAAATATTTTTTTGATATTTTTTTACTTTTCTTAAGTTTTTAGAAATATATAGCACCGTTTTTATTTGGAAGGAAAAAGAAAAGTGTAGAAGATAAAATAGGGGACTTGGAAAAAAACGTAGAGAATTCCATAAATGATATTAAAATTAGTTTAAACGACGTCAAATCAGAAGTGAACAAAATCACTTTTTATACAGAAGATGATATGGTTTCTCAGTTAAAAAATCTTCAGTCTGAGGTGGCAACTGTAAAAGGTCTTCTGTTAACAAGGTATTTTAAATTTCAAGTAATACTAAACTAAATATAAATCATCAAAATAATTATATATCTATGAACAAAAATATGGTTTGTAATGTCTAAAAATTAGATTTCTTATTTGGAGTTTTAATAGTAATATTCATGTAATTGATTATTTACTATCATAATATTTAAATAAGTAAGGTATATGTAGGTACTGTAAAAAATCAAAAAATGTATGTACCGTTCGGTATATGTATGTAAAAAATATGAGTTATATGTACATATATTTTTTTATTTTCACATTATTAAGTATATACAGGGATGTCTCAATATTCCGTGGACATAGCACTAAGTATTTTTGGAATCGAAATAAGTTCTTTTGGCACAATTTACCTCTATAAAAGTGCTGTACCTCTATAAAAGTTTGTCCGCTAGAGGGCATCAAACTTTTAAAAAATAAACACATTTTTTTAAATATTTTAAGAAAAGTTATTCCAATTTTAATGAGATTTTGGGTGCCTATGTTTTGCTAAGTGCTTTAACATTTGACATTTACAAAAATTAAAAAAAAATTCAGGAAGTTTGAAAACTACCCCACCCCTACATAAATTTTAGTATATAAATATTTTCCAACTCAACGGACGACCGATTTTCGTTTTGTAAATCAAGGGGGCGTCAATCAAAAACAAACCCGAACGTTAATTTAAAAGTTATTAATTTTTTTCAAGCTTTTATGAAGCTTTTTGTGAAATATAACTTTTAATACTAACATATTAAAACGTAAAATTTCATATTTTCCCCAACTAGATTATTAAGAGCATAATAGATTTTATACGCCTCCATAGCTTGATGTGACATATTATTTGGAAGTCAGCTTCGGAAATTTTTTTTTTCCTCAAAATGTGCGGTGGCGTTTATAAAAACAAGAGACAAAAAATGTAGTAAATACTAGAAGGGCCATTTTAGGAAAAAAAATCGGTTTTTAAAATCTGGATTTTTACATAAAGGCGCCTGCTCCACCTGTCTAAATTATTTTCAGCATTACAGTGTTGCAGCTTCATACTAAAAGTAGTAGCATCTTTGTTATTTTAAATGGAACCCCCGGTATATTATATTTTTCGAAACTACTCCCAAATCACAGGTTTTTTCTATTATACTAACCTATACCAATCTTTAATAGTTTTCGAGATAAAAAATAAAACGTGCGTAAAATTGACAAAAACATGATCTTCAATAAGCATTAGTTAAATCGTAAATTCGGCATATTAAAAATTGAAAGCTAAAATTCAGTTTATAAGTTAAGGAAACTCGACATATTTGATTTGATCTGTCTAAATCTTTGAATAAGAAGACTAAGGAAGGAGCATATGAAAAATCTTAGGTCCACCGCGATGGGCCTCAAATACGGCCGACTTAAATTCCGGTTTATCAGTGCCGTTCTAATTTTATTTAAAAAATGTAAAACTATGATGTAGGGTAGACGTGGGGTAGACTCAATAATATGTTGTTTTATTTGACGTTGTGAATAAATGTTGGTAGTTATTAAAATTGTTACAAAAATATATAATTCAAATAAAAATAGATAAGTTATAATAATTATTTATTAACACAAACATCCGATACGCTACTGAAGCAGGTAAATCTGGTAAATCAAATTGACGTATCTAAATTCTTTGACAGCTAATCTTTGACAAGTAGTAAATAAAAGCAAAAAGGCAAGAAACAATATATAATTAGTTAATTTAAGTGAATTTCATAAATGATCGGTTTACTACACGTATGTATATTATATAGTCACTTACTAGCGAAAAGTTGTTCCATTATTTCACTCGATATTTGCCGAGATCTACCGCACGCTACACAACCAACTATCTTAGAGTCTTTTTCGATAAATCGCGATAGTGTCACTGTTAATTTAAGTTCTGCCACAATTTCCATCTAGATTTACTACCTTTATACAACTATCAGTAGTAGAATAAATAATAAATGACATAAAATAAGCTCCGTAAAGACTGACAAATCCATAAAATTTCAAATCAAATTCAAATGTGTCAAATGAATCGTCAAACAGAACTGTCAAGGATCCCCACCCTAGAGTGCTTTTTCCGCCCACCATGCATGAATACATGGATAGCAATCAACTGATTGGATATCAAACAGAGAGGCCAGAAAAAATAATTATTTCCGTTTGTTATTAAATCGTTTAAATTATTGTTATTTTAAATTCAAGCCTATGTATATTATTTAAAAAATCGAAACCCAAATAAAATTGCTTTGTTTCTTCAGTAAAGCCATTTAAAAGATAATAATTCGATTATAATTGTTTCGTTTAAAAAAATCGAAAAAAAAATCGTTACCATGACAAATATTCAAACTTTATAAGTGTCAATTAGAGTTTACCTGCTACATTTCTAAAATTGTCGTGGTAACGACATTTATGAAATGAAACTATGGCTGTATTCCGTTGAAAACCAGGCGAACCAGACCGTAAATTACGGTAAAGAGCGGTTCCTGAAAAATATCGGTTTGATACGGAACGGTTTAGTAAGATACTGGAAACGTCAAATATTGACATTTTCTAAATTTCAATAGCTTTATTGTAAAATTTATCTTTTGTGCATTTTTAATGTACCTGTTCTCTGCTTTTACGTTTGCTTCTTCTTTTCAATGGAGTTTAATATTGAAAAGTACTTTATTAATAAACTGTTAAACTCGTTAGACATATCAAGTGAAGATTTGCAGGTCCAATATTAAAATAGATCAATAATAAATAAACAAATCTAATCAATATTTATGTTTTTATAGCTTACAAAACATTCACGATTACCCGTTGTCTTGTTGTTCATGTTTTCTTTAAATGTTCCTGACTTTAAGAAACAATGGCTGCATGATAAGTTTAAATGGTCCTAAAAAGTCATTCCATTTAGTTAATGAAATTTATTTACCTTTACTGCCTACCTCCATTGCTTTTGGATGTAAATACAAAATATTATTACAAATTTTAGAAATTAAATGAGAATTTCACTCCAACTTCCAATATTTGCTAGATTTCTGTCACATAAATGACATTGACAAACAAAACCAGAAAAACCAGCCTTCTCGCGCTGGTTAGTTTGGTGACAGTTATAACCGAATTTTTCAGGAACTGTGTTCCGTAATAAGAAAACTTTCAGGAAACCGATAGAACGGAACATAAAACCATAACCGAGGTAAGCAACGGAATACATACATAATATACACCTATAATAAGAGAATTATTAATTTTTAAATAGCTCTACTTAAGAAACCTGAAGGTTTAGGTCAGTTTAGGTATAGGAACATGATGATATATTGTTGAGACGCAGTTTTATTAGTCTTTTGATTTTTTTAAGCAATGCAAATAATATGAGCAATTTTATAACAAACGGAAATAAATAATATTTTTGATCCCCCTGTGTAATATCCAATCAGTTTATTTAGACAGATCGAATATATCGACTTTCTTTAACTTATAACCCAAATTTCTACTTTAAAAATGTTTAATTCATGATTCTACAAATAATGCTTATTCTTATCCATGATCTAGTTCAGTCATAGAGGATTTTTGCTTGGAAAAAAGTCCGGAAGTTTTGAAACTTTGCAGGTTTATAGGTTTTGGGGTCCTTAACTAAAATCCATAAAATGCACATTTCCATTTCCATCTTACCAAGATGGCGCCCAAAATCGGAATTTTGTAAATATCTCAAAAAGTATGCGTTTTTGGCAAAAATTTGAAGAGAGCAAAATCAAAGAGAATAAAATTTCCTATAAAAAAGGTTCTATGAAAATTTTCGCTAAAGTCAACCGTTTAGGCACAAGATCCCCGGAAATTTTACAATTTGGCGTAAAGTATGATATACATATAGTCGATTTTCCGAAATGAAATGTCGATTAGGGTTCACTAAAACTAGTTTTAGTTTAGTTTCTTCAATTTTGTCATGAAACAGTGGCGACATTAATCGCTCATTAATTTATGAATAATTAATTTTAATTATTGAAAATATGTACTTGTTTCCACACCACCCAAGAGGTAAAGTACATGGCCCGTTTATTTTAACGTCGTCTCCCCGAAGGCCTACTCCACTAGGTAAATTAAAAACTTTAACTTATCTGCACAAGCCCGACGGACCTGGCTCATTGATGTCAAAGTCGATCGTGCCTGCTGTGCTGGGCTCATCAGGGTGGTCTCTCAATTCGCCCAACTCTTTATCTTCAGCTGCCAGAGGGATATCTACAGGCAAGTCCAACTCCTCTTCATCGGATTCGTCGAGTGACACTTCAGTGATTTCCCATTGCAGAATGCACAAATCATTGAACATTTTAATCCTGCTTTTCTGCATCCACAGTCTTTACCATAGTTTTCGATTTTGCATTTACAGGATACAAATGCCAATAGGGATTTTGGAGCTGGATATTTCAACGTTGTGACTGGAGTAATGCCTTTTTTTGTTTTCTTCCAACCCCATTCTTCGGCATCTTTGATACAACCAGACCAATGCTGAACCTGATGGTAAGTTCGCAATGAATGCTCTCCAGCACGACAATTAATTATTCATAAATTAATGATACGCCACTGTTTCATGAGAAAATTGAAGAAACTAAACTGAAACTAGTTTTAGTGAACCCTAATCGACATTTGATTTCGGAAAATCGACTATATGTATATCATTACGCAAAATTGTAAAATTTTCAGGGATCTTGTGCCTAAACATATAGTAAATTTTGCCCTCTTCAAATTTTTGCGAAAAAGGCATAGTTTTTGAGATATTTACAAAATACCGATTTTTTGGACACCATCTGTTGGTGCCTTTATATAAAAATCCAAAATTTAATAAAAATTCCATCACCGGTTGGAATTCCATCACCTCCATAAACGTCTAACGTGCCATCGCCGTGAATCATCCTATATATGTATATAATACTAAATATTTTTTGTCTTAATGTATCATGTTTACTATTTTTAGAAAACAGTTTCCATCAGTAGCCAACAGTCCTGTGGTACCACCTTCTATTCCAGCGTGGCAATTGTCTAGTGTGCATCAACAACCAGAACAAGAGGGCGACAGTGAAGAAACTAAGGAGGAACTTCTTGAATTTGGATCCGGGTCTGGATCTTCAGAACACGAGCATGGCATGAAGACCAGCGAATCTAGTCTTGAAATAATGTAATTATTGAATAAATTTTTACATGTTTGAACACAAAAAAAAGACAGGAAATTTAGCATGTTCTCTAATTTTTTTTTAGTAACCATGAGGATATATTATAGTTGATTGACATAGATATCAAAATTAATGTTGTAAAGTAATTATAACTTATAACTTTTAGCACTGATAATTCTATTTGATTAATTTTTCAGATGCTCAGCTAGAGATTATGATACAGAGTCATGCCATAGTAAAAAAAGTAGCCGAGAAGAAAGTATACCAGATTAATTCATCTTGTCCTTTCTGAAGTTTTTTAACAGGTATATTTTAAATTATCTACTTATCAATTGAAATAACTATTTACAAGGTATTTTAAAGTAAAAAGAAATTGGGAATCGGTGTTTTATTTCTTTTCTTAAATTAATTACCTATGATGTCCATATCCCAGACTGTGTCCCAGAGGTCAATAGATTTATTTAATATTTTTTATTACACAATTAAAAACATACAATTTTAACATAAAACGTGCAATATTTCACGCATGGTTTATGGAAATCACCTAAAATTATAAACAGATATACGGTTCTCGAAATTCCGCCTAATAAATAGTTTTTTTTTATCATACTCTCAGAATTTTTAGAATTTTTTTTTAGAATGAGTTGGAGGAGGGTAATCACTGTGACCTTACAGATCTATTGTGTCCCCCTTTCTTGAGTTATAACTCATCATACAGTCCCAGGGCTTTGACAAAAGCCAGTATCTGGGACGGTTTTATAGAGGGTAATTCTCCATCTCCAATATTAGTCGTACCAAAGTTCATGGCATGAATGGTTGTCGTCTCGGCGCACTCAGTGATGAGGTGTACTGGTGTTTCCCCATTTTCCCCACAGAATCTGCATTCGCCGTTTCTTAGTTTCAATCTACTGAGGTGTTCATTGAGGAGACAGTGTCCTGTTAAAAACCCCGTGACAATCCGAAGATTGTTCTTACTTAAATCCAGGAAGATCTTTGATTTTTCTTGATCGTAAGCCCTCAGAAACGTCTTCGAGTGTCTTAAACCATTGCAAGATTTCCATTCCAGGTTGCTTATGGAGTCTTCCAAGTTCTTGAGTTCCGCCTTGAGTTAGTTACCACTTGGAAAGCAGAACGGTTCTAGTCTAGTTAGTGGTGTGTGCGCTCCTTTTCTAGCTAGATCATTTGCTTTTTCATTGCCTTCTATCTCTTGGTGAGCAGGCACCCAGAGTAGGAGGACTTCAGTCAGAATAGGTATAGTTTTTCCGAAGTCAGTTGGAATAGATTGGGACTCTTAATTTCGGCACTCTCTTTGTAGGTGCAGAGTAGGTGCCTTTGTAGGTATCCTCTGGACAAATAACATTAAGAGTGTAATATTAATATAATAGTAATATTTCCAATTAATTTCGGAAATACTATAGGCTTGGTGCATTTCAGTTGATCTCCAAAAAATCCGACTGCTGTATACGGCAAAAATCAGATATTTTCACTATGTATTTCACACCGTCCCGGTATGATAATAGTTCATGTTGATCGCATTAAAATAATATTGAAATAGTGGCTCAGTCATAATATTTAAGTATTTTAGTTTTTTGCTAGTGCAGTTATTGAAACTATAAAACACTCAGGTATGAGGTTTGTGTGATGTAACGTTGATTCGAGTAGTAAAAATTAAGTGAAAAAGAACTCGAACTGGGCGTAGCAACATGTGTTCTGACAATTTCAAATGTTAATAAAATTGCCGAAAAAATGTTAAGGAGTGCGTATAATTACGTGATTGTTGGGTGCAACATTCAATAACTCAACTTTCCCGGATATTCAACTCATATACATATCAAATATACTGATTATCGCCTATATCTGCAATGTGTTGGAGTTGAAGCCGAGTTAGAGACAACTAGATAATCGGTCCATGTATAGTTCACATAAGTTCGTCTGTTAGGCAGACACTGGCGCAACAGCACAACTCCAAAATTCCGAATATCGATTAGCCAGGATTAGCCAATTGTCGAACGGGAGCGCAAACGAAAGCCGTACGAAGTTGGACGGAGCCGTACGAATGAACAGCTGGTGCTAGCGTCTAGTCTCTTATTGGTCTGGATATCCGATCGATAATTCAAAATCTAGGCTTGCGCACTACGCTTGAGCACAACTAAGTGAGCGACTTATGCAAATTCCTTCAGAATATTTATATACCCATTTCACCGGCTTGGCTTCACAGAATGCAGTTTGGAGTCGATATTCTTTAGTTAATATATATATGATTCAACTCTCCCGAAACAACATTTTATAGCTTCACAGTTTCTCACACCGATTTGATCAAAAGAAAAAATGGATTCTAGCAGTTCGAACGAAACAAGTGAGCAAACAAAGTGCTTATTATCTAATCAAAAAATTAAATGGGCATATACTATGAGGGGATGAAATAAAATTTGCAATATTAATGGTATACTCTTTTTTTAATGAAATAGTGCTTAAATATTTTATGAATATCTTCTAAAATTATAATTATGTACCTTAAAAAAATTTCGTTGTAGCCGAAATAGCCCAAGTTATGTCCCCACTAGCAAAACCGGTGCTTAAAACTATGCTCACTACCGTAGTTGAACTTATCTAAAAAGCTTTATTAGCTTTAATAATAAATTATAATACAAGTAAGATAACTTCTGAAGATATCAAAATATTTACGTTTTTATTTTATTTTTAGAATTTTCACAAATTATACTTCCTAACACTTTTAGAATAATTATATAAAGTTTTTTTCGTATACTCGATATTTAGACCCGTGTATGTGTATATACCGATTGTTTACGATATTCTCCGATGGTGGCTGTACTGGCGGAAAATGCACCAAGCCTATACTATCTGCTCGAAAAATAAACGACATCAGAATTGCCTTAGAAAGATCGCCGTCACTTTATGGGTCGGCGTTTACATGTCTAGGAGTGAAGCTAGATTTATAAACTGGGCAGTTGAAGTTCAGTTGAGTTTCAGTTGACGTTCAAAATGTTCAATACTATGAAATGAATGCACGCATTTATAAAGTGAGTTGGTCGAGAAGTTGGCAGTTCGTTTTACGTTCAGGGGAGTTTAGAGATGGTCAATATTTAAGTCGGCAGTTCGCGACGTTCGGCAGTTAGAACGGCAGCCAATGAGTAAGCGCCTGTCGATCACATGAAGCACAGAAAAAAGGTGCATTGGAAACTGACCCTTATTGTTATTTTTGTAATGTTTATGTTTTGCGCAATGTTGGATTATTATGTTTGAACTTTGAAAAATCTCAAAAGTATTTTTAAATTGAAAGAAAAACGTTCGAAATTTTTACAATTCCAAACTTAACCTACAACCGAAACTAACTAAACCTCTGAACGTCAGCTCCCGAGTTTATAAATCCAGCTTAAATTGCTATAGCTATCTAATAAGTCGGAGATGGCAAAAATGCAAAGTATTTACTACATATAACCACTTAATCCGACGCTAGATTTCATGCGCTTGGGAAAATAGGTACTTGCTCTTCTCTCTTTGTTCAGTATAATAAATACAAAGACACCCACGCACCCAGACCAAATGCCCATATGCGGGCTGCAGCAGAATTTATAAGTGAAACTTCTTTAAGCGAGTTGAGAGTAAAAATTCAAGGCCGTGACATACGAGCTAGCGTCATGAAAAAAAGTGGTAACAATTGATAAAGTGGTAAGCCAATGAGGAAGTTGAGATGGGTCTTTGAAGCATCGTAACTCGGGCCCTATGTGAGCTAGGGGACTGAAACTCGGAATATAGATGGGGCTCGAGGAGCCACATCTTTTCATAATATTTTGACGTTTCGTGTACTATGAAACCCCATCATCATGACGAAATGCTTCTAAATGGACGAAATCATCAGGATTTATCTTAATTATGGGTCTATTGGAACCAAACTCGGCATATGGATAGAGGTACCCGAATGGAGTCCTCAGACGGACAGACGGTCATTTTAATACAAATTTTGTGGAAGTGAATCAAATTATTTATTAATTTTTAATTTATTACTTTTTCAACATACTTTTTCAAACATGTTAAGAAGTTTCACTTCAAATATGCACACAAGAAAATTATGTGTGATGCATTTTTTACATTGTTTATGAAAAGATACGAAAGATACGAGGAGGAAATTGTAAATTTTGGAGTCGTTAAAGGACTATTTCAGCTGCAATTTAAAAATAATTTTACAACAAGATACAGAGTGTCCCAAATAAGTAAAAAATAGTACAATTGTATTTTTTTAAATGGAACACCCTGTATATTATTCTATTTTTGAATTCTGCAATTGAAATAAAGGTAAATTTGATTAAGGTTTATCACACTTAAACCTTGCCGTTTTTGAAATATTTGCTGTGCAGTAAAAATTTTAAGGCTTCATTTCAAGTATCAAAGTTTTTAATACTAAATATTTACTGAAGTTTATTTATTGATCAGATATTGTGTTACAATAATAAAAAGTATAGTACCTTATACAGAGTGTCGAAAAATGTATATTAAATAATTACTAGCTTTAAACGGCAATAACTTGTTTAATTTAAATGGAACACGCACAATTTAATTGTCTATCAAATTGTATTATACCATTTTTTACCTATCTCTTCAAGTTTTCGTAGAAAATGCATTTTCTTATAATTTAGACCTCATTTACCATGAAATATTGACATTTTAGATTATTGTTACGGATTCCGTGGGTCCACTATTTAAACTCACGATAAAATACTTAACGAATTTATTTTCTCACTTTATACACAATTACTAACTTATAACACACAACAAACTAACTATTCCTTCACCAAATTGTCCGATTTTCAATTTTCACGCGGTATATTCAAATTTCAAAAACTGTCTCATTTGTCGATGGCTCCGGCTTATATACTCTATTGACTGCTTCTCGAAATTTCCCCAATTCTCGGAAAGCGTACTTCTTCATACCAGACAATTCTATTTTCTGATTCCCTTACTTCTCGACTTGACTAAAAGATGGCGCCTGAAAAAGTCTTTTAATTTCTGGCGGATACGTTGCGGTTGTGCAGGCAACCAGTAATACATTTTTAATTTCTGGCGGATAGGCCATTTTTCTTGACATTGCCCCTTCTCAAATTTGATCGTCCCGATCAAGGTTTCCTGTCTGGTATCTCTTCAATCGATCCAGATGAACTACTTTCATCTTACTTCTAGGGCTGCGTTGAATCCGGTACACAACATCATTTATCCTCTTGATGACTGTATAAGGACCTTCCCATGCTGGAGTTAACTTTGGGGACCTTCCTTTCTTGCGCTGTGGGTTATACAACCATACCCTATCGTCCTGTTGAAATCCCGTAGAATTAGCTCTGAGGTCGTAACGAGCTTTCATC